CTCCCTCGTAATACACTGCAGAAAATTCCATGAAGGACAAGGTATGCCACAAAAAACGAATTCCACCACTGCACGATACAAAACAACGAAAACGAGAGACCTTCCGGCGTTAGTCTGTCCCACGTGTGGTCACCAATGAATGAGTAACTCAGGCCTAACTCTACACCGAATGCCACGACACGGGTATCAACCTACTCGCGCGCACACCAGCCAACGCGACGAATGCGAAGAAACAGCTCTGCATCTTTTGAGTTGCACCACTCTTCATCCACTGCGAGTTCAATTTGCGATAGTTGATGATGTACCCCTGAAGAAACTATGTTTTTCTAAGCGGTTGGCACAGTTCCTTATTGCGGTGGAGCGGAACCACGCTATGCCACAGTCTTCACACCCAAGAGAAACCCTACGTCTCCTGCCTCCCCCTCTGTAAGGCCTCCCCACCTCTCTAAAATCAGCGACGAGCTCGAATATGGAAACCCTGATAGAAGAGTACGCTCAAGGCGTCTGTCGCCGACCCAACAAGCAACAAAATAAATAGGAGTTCATTGAGATCAATCTATAACAAAAAAAACCCAAAAATAACCAAAAATAATAACAAAAAAGGAGACTTGAGGACGGGTTCTGGGTAAGAAAAGTGAGAGTAGAGAGATCTGGTGGAGTTTACTCGATCAGATTTCTCTTAGACTGCTTCTCTCGTTTGGGAACGGGCTACAACAGAAAAAAAAACATATACAAGAACTTGAGGATCCTATAAAATGAAGGGATTTTCTCCTTCNGAATCCCTACACAGCCTACCTCCCCCTCTGTAAGGCCTCCCCACCTCTCTAAAATCAGCGACGAGCTCGAGCATGGAAACCCTGATAGAAGAGTACGCTCTAGGCGTCTGCCACCGACCCAACAAGCAACAAAATAAATAGGAGTTCATTGAGGCCAATCTATTATAAAAACCCAAAAATAAAAAAAAATTAATACCAAAAGGAGACTTGAGGACGGGTTTTGGCTAAGAACAGTGAGAGTAGAGAGATCTGGTTAGATTTACTTGATCAGATTTCTCGTAGACTGGTTCTCTCGTATGGGAACGGGCTACAACAAAAAT